TCATAAATAATTTAACCCAAATAAATGTAATCACCAACTCACTAAAAATCAATTAATTACTAAATCACTAAAATTCTGTTGGTCAGTTATCTAGATCAAAATTGTACGAAGTCAGCTATCGCGTTGAATTTTCAATCCTATTTTTCAAGTCCATCCAAAGCAGATTAACAATCAGGACGAAACAACTATCTAGCGCTTCCTGGTTTTCAATAGCTGTCAAATCAAGATCGGTTCACGATGTGAACTATGAAAACTTATTGAATTTTTATTTGCGTATGAGTGTAATTTAAGTGAACATTTTCCATTTTTGATAGCGTTACAGAAAGTAAAAATGATGAATACGAGACTGGCAAAAGAGCTTGTTTATGAATTTCTCCTAATTATTTTCAATAAATGAATCTTGGATGATATGCATTTACAATTTTGCATTCATTTTTGCAACTGTCAATCTTCTCTTAATTTTGCTAAATTTAAACAAATAAAAATCGTTATTAGTTTCTTTCCTAGACGCCTTTTCTAGTAATTTACCTCTTCTAATTTTACTAAGAAATAATATGATAGAAGATTGTTTGTGATTGACTGTAAGAATTAATGAGTGAATAATTAAGAATCTTAATATATAAAATGTTGACGAATTTATTTTCATTGCTGATCGATTAACCATTAAGCCAGGAAAGTAGATGTTTTATTACTTGTGCATACTGCTTTTGGTTTTATGCACAGGATTTTCAGTAGTGTTTATCAGTAAGTCAATAAAAGAAATGATACTAATGCCTTAAGACATCATATTGAAACATTATACTGAAATTTCATTAAGCTTCATATAATTCATGCACATGACTGACATATTTATCAGAACCAGTTATTATCACTTGAAATTAGTTACTGAAATTAGTCCGTATAAGCAGTAATTTTTCGTAATTAGGTAGGGCAGAATTTTTTTTTCAGAAGGCACGAATATGGTATACTTCATAGTTTTGAATACTTTTTTCAAACAGATTTATTATCAAAAGTTATGTGTACTATTTATTGGATACGGTTATTCTTCTTTCTATGAGGTGTAAATTATAATTTAGACAACGTATTTAAGTAGAAGGCCTTTTACATATTATATCAGTGGTAAACAGTTCTAGCTAATGAATTTACATGTTCCGGGACTTAAGGTTTCTAACACAAATACAGAAGTTGATTGTTGAATTTTTCTAAAAGATATATAATTGTTGTTATCAGACAAAATAAAACTATTTTTCATCGATGTGAAACGAGTTGATGAATGCCAGTTATTTCAAAGCTTGACGTAAGGATTTCTGTTTAACAGCTTCAATCATGTAAACAGATATAGAGTAAAGTGTGAATATCTTTTTAGATAATGAAGTTTCCATTCATTTAGCGAATTATCAAAAATAAGCAGATAATGTGTAGTCTATATTTGGAACCAATTAACATGACAAGCTCATATGGGATTTATTTTAATACTTTTAAGCGCCAAAGCATTCAAGTTATTTCTAGATCTATTAATTAGGATCTATTGTCCTTTATTTTGTGACCTCAGTCAATTTATGACATACTTTAATTCTTACAAATTACTCCACAGAGCTTCTGTACAAATTAGGTCATCTCGAATCCATTCATCAATGAAAATATGGTTAGAAACTATTGGTGTTGTGATTTATCTATAGTAGACTATAAAATTTAAGGTTTGATTACTCGTGTGTATGTATACGTGTAAAGTGCTCTAAATTAAGACAAAATGTTTGGTCAGTGCTACTTGATCTTCAATGATTTTCCAGTTTAAATAGGTTTGTTTTATTTTCTTTGGCTTACCAGGTAAATTTCATTCAATAACAGAAGATTTAAAGTTTACTTGATGCGATATTTGCGAAACAATTTTTATTATAACGTGTGTTGTCGAAACAAAAACATCTAATAATAAATAAAAATATTATTTGGAGAAAAGTAAAATGAATACAAGCAGAAAGTAATAGTATATTCAACTTTTTCTGTTGTCAAGATAATTATCTGTCAAATAATCTGTTAAGCATTGTGTTTTTGTAAAATTTACTTAATGAGCTTGCAATTTGTCAAGCTGTTTCGTAATTAATCTTTTTTTATCTCATTTTATTGAACTACAACTGATTAGATGGTTTATTCAACTTCTCCAGAGTAAAAAAGATTTGTAGATTAGATTACTGAATGTAATGCTGGAACTACATTATATTGCTGATCCACATTTTTAACTCACGTTTTTTTCAAAAATAAATATGATTCCTAATATCTCTTGAACTATTGCTGAGGATTACAAAAATATTTCATATGAGTACTCATGTTTGCGTATATTTTTGTTTTATCTTTCATTCAAGTGCTTATGCATTTAGATGAAATGTATGTATGTTCCAACTTGTGTTACCAAGTTTCATTAGGCAATCAAATATATTCCTGTAAATATTTACTAACTGAATGATTATTTAGTTTTTTGTTTATTGTATGCGAATAAAAGTTCAAAAATCGACTTATTTATTCACTCACCATATTCGCTTAATTGTAACGGATCATTTAGACACAGTGAGTAGTGTACTATCTAATACAGGTCTCCATTGGAATCACTTTTCTAAAACAGCTCTTTTTTGACTCTACTCACTGTGTTTTTTGTTTTTATTTTTTTAAAAATAACTTCTAATCAATAAAAATCCAATGATGGATGAATTTTTTTACATAGTGTCTTTTTCGCTTCTTTTTCTAACAACATAGTTGACAACTAAGCAAACTTGGTGGATTAGAGAAAACCAGTGAAAACAAGAGGAAGAGAGAGAGAGAGAGAGATTGAAAAATCATTTCATAAACATTTTTTTCCATTCAATGTCATTTTGTTCAGGAATTGATCTCACTGACTTTTCATTCTACCACTCTTCTTTGTTTGTTTTAAACATATAATGTTTATAATGGTTTTGAGGTATAATTATTGAATGACTGATTATATTGTTAGAATTATGAACTGATCATATTTAAACTGTATTGAGAAATACTAGAATAAGTTTGCCAATTTATACCAGTTTGATTATAATTAAACAAAAAGAAAATAATTTAATATTATGATAATGATCTGATGTGTTATCCTATACGACTTGTAAATAACAACCTCTAAAGCGAATGTCTCATCAGTAACCGAAACCGCCTTTCTAATGAATTCCAGCGTGTAGGCAGTTTTTAGTTATATAATCATTTCAACTGTTGTTCATTAAGCTGTTGATGCAAATTAACTAGTTAATCTAAAAACACAGCAATGAACATATTTTAGTATTCATTAACTGAGAAAACTTGGACAATGTTCAGAGTGAGCGGATTCATAATTTTAGATGAATATGAGTAAGTGTTTTTGAAATGATATTCTGCCCAGAAGGTGGTTTTTTAATTCATTCTCCTAATAAACTAGTATAGAATAATCGTTACTTGTGAACACTCGCTCCAGTTTATAATAACTCAGTTTGTTAAGTCACCAGACCTGACTACCATGACGCAACAACTAAACGCCAATAATTGCCAAGACTTAAGCCGTAAAGACTATAAACCGGGTTTTTTTCGAAAAAGTCGTTTACACATTACAGCACAGTACTAATGCAATAAGTCACCGAACATAGATTGTTTTACAATTGTTTAATGAGCTTTCATTTATATGACCAGTTTACTGAAGAACCATTTAGTGCAGATATGGGGAAAACTATGCCACTTTGATGTACATAAATATAAAATGTAATGGCTAACAAAGTGGGAAACACAATATATCCCTCGCAGAATTTCGTACACGACTAGATAACTTTATTTTCGTTCGTTTAAGAATTAGTAGGTAAGTGAAGTTCACTCACGAAACTAACTGAGTATAAGACGATAGCAATTAGAATCTCACTTACTAGCAAAAGTGTGAAGGATTTTTTTTGTTGCTACATAATGTAATGAGCATTTGTTGCTGGTTTGTCCTCAAAGATGAATGAAGCAACTACCTATTACTTTCCAATTAGCAGTAAATCTGAAAATATCTTATATAATATCGTTTATAAGCCCCTTGTTTCATTTCGCTTATGTCCGAGGATCATAAAACATTAAGACTTTCAAAAACAGTCTTAAATTTCTAAGATTCTGAATTAGTTCACTTCACTTTGAAAACCAATCGTTTGCATGATAGTGCATTTTCGAATGAAGGTCGCTTTTTACATAACTAAATGTAATAAGTAGTGTAAAAAGTCATCTCAAGAATCTAGAATCTGAAGATTTTCAAGAAATTTCTTTTAAACACTTCAACTTACGTCCTTTATTTGAAATACATTCAAAAAATAAAAAACTTTCCATATAATAATTAGACCTCCGTGATTGAAAGTTTCCAGAGGGTTCGAGACAATATTCATTATATATAAATTCGTATCACCTTCTTAATCCACTGCTAATTGAGTATTTCTTCTAGTAAGAAACTAAATTAAAAGTACGAGTTCAAATATTCTATGCCAGTTTATCATACTCAGTTCAGTGCTTATATTGGAAATTCAGGTGATAGCATTGAAAAGTTACCAAGGACCTAAATAATCCAAGGACAACTACTGAGTGACTGGTTTATATAGTACTTCTTATTTCTTACACAATTTTCATTCTAGATGAATTTTGTGATACGTCAGGTAGCTCAATAAATCAGAGATGAATATCTTAACTTACCAACACACATAATTTAACAGAATAATTATCACAGTACGGTATCTATAGCTTATGTAACTTCATTTAACGACGAAAAGAATATGAAACAAAACAATCGCATGATGCACCATTCATTGGAAAAAATTGTTAACAGTTAGTTAAATTTGACTTGAAGATACGTGTTTCACTTCACTTTATAACGGATTGTTTTATTGTAATTTATATCAAACCTGTCGTTATTTAATTTTTCACATTACCAAGGGTAACATAATTAATCTTTGAAATATCCTAAATGTTTATTTTCCGTAAAAATATTTATACAGATCCTGCTGGGACCAGATCAACTTATCCAAATGAATCCCTATATATGTCTTCTAAAACTCCTGCCCAAGTTATTGGAAATGTTCGGACATCAACAGCACCAACTAGTCTTTCTGGTCAAGCTGATTTAGAAACAGCCTATTCAAATTTAGATTCCCATTCTTTTGGAACGTCAAAGGTGTTATCAGATCGTTTTGGAGACTTTCTAACTTTACCAAGCGAAAGATGTTTATCGACATCTCAGGCTCCAAGTCATCCTACACAGTCTTCTGCATACGATTTGGACACTTCCAATACTCCGTCTAGAACATTAAATTTACAGAATATTGATCGTGTCCCAAAACCTGGTAATCTGAATGGACTATTTATTTTACATGTTATTGCGGGCAAAGGTTTGAATTCTACACATATTATTGTCAGAGATCTTTACTGTGTTATTGAAATGGACTCTGTACGTAAGGCTCGCTCCATGATACGTACCAGTACAAGTTATTTCGAGTGGAACGAGGTATTTGAACTGGATATGGAGGATAATAGATTTTTAGCCGTTTTACTTTATCAGTGGGATCCACGTACCAAACATCGTTTATGTTTTTATGGTGGTATTGACTTAAAAAATCTACTTGGCAGATTATCATCAAGTACTACAGCATCATCATCTAATACTCCAACAAATGAAACTATTCTTAGCCCTTCTGTATCGATTTTATCCAAAACTTTTTATAAAATCGCCCTCCAGCTTGAACCAAGAGGTGTATTATACCTGGAACTTGCACATGTACCACTGGAAAAGCTGTTTCATCGTAATCAACATCAATTAAGTACAAGTGCGTTAAGTTCAACAAGTACTGATCGCTTATTATTCGGTGTATCAATCGATGAGTTGATTGAACGCGAACGTGTAATATGTCAAATTACTGAATTATACTCTCCAAAACAATTAATTTATCAAAATACGTCTGATTATATGTTGATACCATTATTTATCAAGAAATGTGTCGAAGAGATCGATAAACGTGGATCAGATGTTGTTGGCGTTTATCGTCTTGCCGGTTCTGTCTGGATGAAGTTACAAGTGCGTGAATTATTTAATCGTGTTACAAAGTCTACACTGAAAGCTATAGTTCATGAAGATGCTAAGGCCATTAGAGATATTATACAATTGGTGGATTTATCAGCCCAGCGTATTCCAGACATTCACGCTATCACTGGTAAGTGATTTGCAGTATAAAGTTTTATAAGTTAATTTCCTCTATCTTTCTGAATTTATTTATTTTTTTAAATCCTATGTATATTCGCAAAAGTCAACTGCAGAACATAATGCAAGCACCGCACCATCTTTACGCTTTTAAAAGTCTTTGAAAAATATCAATCCTTCCAACTAAAGCACTCGATACAACAGTATATTGTACCACGACAACTGAAGTATAGTAATCAGGTTTTCATAAACACTGTTCTTTTACAGTGAGCTCATAAACTCATGATTTGTAACTAAATGAATCATGATCAATAAATCAGCAATAATCTATTAAAATCTGTCATTATCCATCATTGTTCCTTATTTTCAACTGACATCTGAAAATGTCTCGGTATTTATAAATACCATTTAAAATGTAAGAATTTTGAGTTACAATGTGACTTACTGGTTTATGCTACATATTGTTGTTATTATTATATACGCAGGCATAGTTAATTTTAACATTTTAATGTGAACTCCCAAAGTTAATGGTTAGAAAATTTTCATTTTCTAGGAAAATGGACTATGCGCTACTGAAATGTTATTGTCACTAGCGTCATATACAGACTATCGATTGTAACAAAAGTTTTTGTACGCAGTAAATATTTGAAATTATAAGTTAGAGAATCATTTTTGGCTTACAGACGTTTTGGATGTTGCCAAGTTATCGTAAAAATAATGTAATGTAAATGTAATTATTCCATGATCCTAATCCTAATCTTCCCAGTTCAAAATCTAGCCATATTTGCTGTTAGAAACGTTCAAACAACCTAAATGTAATAATAAGAAAACATAACTCATTTAATTTTCCTGCTTATATAAAATTGTGCAAATACATCACTGATCTAGCGAATAAATCATTTTGATAAGTGTTTGCGCAACAATACTTCATTTCATTGTCATCCACTTGAACTAGTTTCAATAATAGTTAGCAATTTTGTAAAATTGTTTGATTATATTACAGACTATCAAGTCAAAGATTACCTATAAATACGATTGTACAGTCCCAGAAAATTTCAAGAAGGGTAAAACATTTATTCACTGAATTATCATTTCTATTCAATAACACAATGAGTTATTTTAATGATCAACAATATTGTTTTAGGGGACTGTATTAAACGTTTTATTTTGGCAAAAATGGAATGGTAATCGGCTGACCGACACTCAATATTACAGAAAGTTTAATTTTTTATTTTGAAACTTAACCCTTTGTTTTTTGGTAAAAACTAAACGTTTTAGTCATCAAACTTAAGAAATACTCTTGACAACTGAATATTTAATAGATTTTAGTTTCCTTAAGTATTTGCAACAAATTTTTTTACCAGCAATGTTTAGTGTTATTCTAGTTCATTAACGGTCTCCTTAAAATTCAAACGTAAAATATATTATTGTATAATATTTTGTTCAGAAAATAAGAAGGTGAATATCTCTTATCCAGCTTATATGAACACTGGTTGACATCTGTCTATTTTGTATGTCGATCAAATTTTTCTGTCACCATCAGCTTATACAAACCTTTTGGTCAAGGAATTCCAATGTCAACGTATTCGCTTAGCTTCAATTGCTTCACAACTTTATTTTACCTAACAAATAGACTGTATATAAAAAAGATTATTCAATTTATACATTAAAGATCAAGCGGAATGACTAAAAACACTAATATGTGTCGAATGTATCCGACTTATTCCAAAGAATTCATAACAATTTATCTAGTTATCTTTAAAGTAAGCTAGTTTGTATGCTTTATTTAACTATGATAAATTTTCTAAGATTTTCATAGAACTCAACGTTTATGATGATACATTTACTTTACAAAGTTTCAAAGAATAACTTTCTTTTTTTAAAATTATTTAAAACATTAAGAGCAAATTGCATTCATGATGTTTGTTTGATGATTTTTTAAAACAAACTTATTGTTGAACGAATTGAAACAACAATTGATCAAATTCAATTCTACTTAATTATTAATAAATTTTCAACTGTTTTCACTTGCTGTTAGAAGCGAAAACTAGAGGAAGAGAAACGAAAATTCAATTTATTTCCTAAAAAAAATACGAAACACCACTGTGTTTTCTTATTTTTTTTATAGATTATTTATGCAAATAATTTATTTTTAAAACAAAAACTAGGCAAAAATATTTCACCAAAACAAGAAAGTTTCAGTTTCTTCAAAATGATCTACATTAAAAAAGAAAACACGGAAACGAAAACGGAAACAACAATACATTGGTGCTATTTTTTATTGACTTGTTTCATTAACATATATATATATATATATATATATATATATATATATATATATATGCATATATTCAGAAGACATGAAAAAAAATACACTCACACACCGTTTTTTTTGCTGAAAAAGAATCTATTCCACAAAAGTCACATCTAATTATATAAGCCTAGTTGAAGTGAAAGAAAAATATGGACAAAAAAATAAACACCCTACAGAGTGAAAGAGGGGAACAGAAAAATGCGAAAAGAATGAAGAAGTGAAATGAAAATTGTGATGGTGAAGAGTAAATAAATAAAAAAAGCCACTCTATTATTTGAAAAAAAAACTACAATTTGATGCATAACAAAAAAAATAATAAGGCGAATGAAGAAAAGGAAACAGACAACTAATTCTCCAGAGTCTCATGACATTATAATCAAATAAGTCAGGACAATGAATAATAATAAAAATTAAACAAACGCTGAAAGTCACTGATATGAATTGAGAATAATTCTCATAAAGTGTATGCTTTCATATCTCTCCATATGTACATAAATATTTACAGAGAGAGAGAGAGAGAGTGTGTGTGTGAGAGAGAAGAGGTATATTATCTTTCGTCTGTTACAGTTTGCAAGTTTCTTATTTGCATCCATTCTGTTAATAAAATAATAAAAACTGCTCGAAAAAAAGTATATAAAATGCTTGAAAAGATACTGTTTCGAACGATCGATTTTCTATGATATTTTATTTCTGTTTAATAATTTTTTGTGTTGTTCCGCTTCGTTTCATTTTATCTGATTTCTTATCAAAATATATTCGATAATTTAGTGTTGAATTTGTAGCTATAATAAAAAAAAAACAATTTAGGAGAAAAAGAACGGAAAAACTTGAAAAAAAATCTAAAAATACTTTACAGTAGGATCTAGTGAAATGCTGGATTTTTGTTTTTACAATAATTTTGAAGGATAGTTAGTCTGGATGAACAATCGCAGGCTAACGCAAACTCTCAACTATATACATTAATAGTAATTCACTAATTCAATTTAAAAGTTAATATTCTTCCAAAAGAAATTGATTAGTGAGTATATATGATTAAGTAAAAAATTTTGAATCTAACTATTCCAACCTGATTCTTTAGTTATCATATTTAACAAGCTGAAAATGTATGACAAAAAGAAATCTCGTCTTGATAACTGACTTACAGATCTTCTCAAATTTACTACAACATTCAAAAAACTGTATACCGAATTGATTACTTACTTACTCACTTACGCCTGTTACCTCCAATGGAGCATAGGCTGCTTACCAGTTTTCTCCAACCAACTCTTTCCTGGGCTTCCCTTTCCAGTTCTTCTCAATGTTTGTACATTACTCTCATATCTTTCTCTATTTCTCGGCGTAGTGTGTTCCTTGGCCTTCCTCTTTTCCTTCTGCCGTTGATGGTTCCATGTGAGGGCTTGTCTTATGACGCAGTTAGGTGGTTTTCGTAGTGTGTGTCCTATCCACTATAACTATAGTGCATCTTAAAACACGTTATGTGAACTGGTACATGGTAAATGAGTCATAGAGTAGTCTGGAGTGTAGAATATTAATCTGAAAGTTATATCAACTATTAAAATGTGTGTTAAATTACTATGACTTACGTACATACGCTTGTTACCCACAATAGAGCATAGGCCACCGACTAGCATTCTCCAACCAACTCTGTCCTCAGCCCTCCTTTCTAGCTCCGTCTAATTGTTGTTTATTCTTCTCATGCCTGTCTCCATTTCTGGGTGTAATTTGTTTTTTGATCTCCCTCTTTTCCTTTGGCCTTGAGGATTCCAGGTGAGAGCTTGTCTTGTGACGCAGTTGGGTACCATCCTCAATATGTGTCCTATCCACTTCCACCGCTTCTTCCTGATTTCCTCATCCACTGGAATCTGGTTTGTTCTCTCCCACAGTACGTTGTTGCTGATGGTGTCTGGTCAACGAATCCGACGTATTTTGCATAGACAATGGTTCATAAGTACTCGTATCTTCTGGATGATGGCTTTCGTAGTTCTCCATGTTTCGGCTCCATACAGTAGAACTTTCTTGACATTTGTATTGAAAATCGTGATTTTGGTTTTGGTTGAAAGTTGTTTGGAGTTCCAGATATTTTTCAACTGTAGAAATGCTTGCTTTGCCAATCCGCGCCCTCATATCTACATCGGGTCCACCTTGATTGTCGGTGATGCTGCCAAGATATGTAAAGGTGTTAACGTCCTGTCTTTAAATCGAGACGACGTAAAAGTGAGTCTAAAATAGCTTACAAATGACCAATTTGCAGTGACTGATTTCGTATTCCAAATATTTGAAACACTATCTAAGTTATTGTCTAGAGATATGGAAATTTGGAGAACATTACTTGGGAATATGTTTGGGATGTTTCACTTGTGAATCTAAACTTCAGTTCATGACATTATCTTTTACTCGAGAGTTTTTGATACCCACCATGATGTTAGTGACAGCATGAAAAATGACACTGTAAAAATGCAGACACAAAAATCAATATTCTGTCTTTGATGAAAAATACAAAAATACAAACACGTTTTTTTTTATCTTCTTAAAATTTAGCATTTGTATGCGACTTAAATGATTGGATGTTTGGTTCAACCAGTGTTTTACTTTAATCGATTTAAGCTAAAGTTTAAAATCTTTAGCGATAGAAATAACTGTTAAGTAACTCCTTTAGTCATATCACTGATGTTGGTTACAAAAACAACTCTTTAACTGTC